CTTAGCTGTTATAAATTCACTGTAAACCACGGCTTCACAGGGATTATTGCTTTTATAAAATGGTTATTCCATATACGTAGTAAGGTTTCACAAAATAAAACAAAGCAAATAAAGTGTAATGTTAATAAAAACAGTATTCTTCCACCAAACAATGTAGTCCCTCAGAAACAGTTGTGGTTGCTACAAAGTGGGTGCCGAGCAACAGACAAACGTAAACAAAGGTGTATGTTACTTTGTAGAGTCATTTACAACAGCTTCGAACGCGGCTCAACCAATCAGAATCAAGCACCGGAACTATCCGCTTTATAAACAAGAATTTTACTAGGAATGTGTATTACGTATTTAAGCAGTTATCTTGAAATGGCTTCATTTTCATTGTTCATTAGTTGTCTGCATCAAGAATTCTAACTATAGCCATAAAGTTTTAAAAATCGCTCTAAAGGCCCATTCATAACTGGACAATAACTCGTTCTAATTCTATAAGAATATTATAAAAACACTAACAGCCAATCACAGTCCATCCTGCTTTAAAGAGCTCAACCATTTAAAGTGGCAGAGAACAAAACTGTGCGCGCTTTTAATAAACAGAACGTTATCACTCGCTGATATTGGAACAGTATCGTTAGAATCACTTTCAGAGCATTTTTTATAGCTAAAGAACAGTAAAAACAGTGACAGCCAATCAGAATCCATCTGGCTTTAAAGAGTTACAGCATTTAAAGTGGCAGAAAACAAAACTGCGTGCTTATAATAAACAGAATGTTATCGTCCACTATTATAGTTATAGTTATAGTTATCGTTCTCAGGAGGAACAATGCCGTTGGAATCACTTTCAGAGCGTTTTTTTTTTCTGGTTTAAGAATGATAAAAACATTGACAGCCAATCAGAATCCAACTGACTTTAAAGTGCGCACTGCAATTATGTTGACAGAACGTAACTGTAGTGCGCAGTTTATTATTATTTTGTTATTATTTCTTATAATAAACAAAATGTTATCGTCTGTTGGTGTGGATGCTAATTAATTATCGTTGTAGTTATCGTTCTAGCGTGAACGAGTCAAAATTCCAAGAGAATAGTGAAGTCCACAGTACAACTATACCGATAACGACACGAAACGAAATCGTTGGAATCATTTTCTGCGCGTTTTTATTCCAGCAGATTAACGATAAAATCATTTACGATAAACGATAAAACTATTTTGTTTATTTCTTTTAACTATACCGATAACGACACGAAACGAGTGTTTTTATTACAGCAGATGAGCGATAAAATCATTGACAGTCAATCAGAATCAAGTGCGCACTGCAATTATGTTGACAGAACGCAACTGCAGCGCGCTTAGAATAAATAGAACATTATCGCCAATTGGTGTGGATGCGAATATAGTTATCGTAATAGTTATTATTTATAGTTATCGTTCTTGGAAGAAACGATACCACTCGCTTTCAACAATACACAAAAAAACATTAACAGCCAATCAGTATCTTTAAAGTGCGCACTGCAAGTATGTTGACAGCGTAACTGCAGTGCGCACTTATAATAAACAAAATGATATCGTTTTTCGGTATGGATGCGAAAATAGTTATCGTAATATTTATAGTAAGGAAGATACTCTATTATTGGAAGTGTGTACTGCAAGTATGTAGACTACGTAGCTGCAGTGAGTGCTTAGAACAGACAAAACCTTATCCTTCGTTGGTGTGGATGCAAATATAGCTATCATTACCGTTATATTTTTCGTTCTTAGCGTAGCGTGAACGGATCTTAAGTCTTTTTTATTCAGCTAATGGACTCACAGACTGCGGTTTGAGCAGCACTGCACTCAGTCTTAATAGTTTTCTGCTGGTTTCTACCATTTTCCAGGGCAGCTGTGCTGCTGTGATTCAGATGTATTACTGCGGTGGTCCTGAACTCATCATCTCCATCATTCACCCACCTTCAGAAACACCATTAACCCATCCGATTAACTCTGTTACTAGGAGTATCTAGCCTCCTGTTTATTTCTCCAGTATGACAGAAGAAAAGGAACAGTGTGAAAAACAGCATCAGCGTTCTGGCGCGTTTGTTGCCATGGATACCGCGAACTCTTTCTTCGCTCGGGTACCAGAGAACTTTCCGCTTGAGTCAAAGCGCGCAGTGACGCACTTGACTTTTGATTGCTTCTGTTTGATCGTCTGTTCCTGTGCAGCTACAACGCCACGAAAACGAATTGAATGGGAAACGAAGCGCCTTACATAATGCGCGGACCATACTGTCATCAACAAACGCGTGCATTATGAATAACTCATGCTATCGCGCACACACACACACACACACACAGGCTTCTTACCGATGTCGGAGTGGCAGTACGCGTCCTGTGGATGCGACATCCCGCATGAACACGCGTCCGACGCCTGGTACATCAGACAGACGAGAGAGAACAGGAGGAACGCGAGCACAACACAAGACTTCATTCTGAAGGGAACGCGGAGCTGTCAGACTGGAACCTGCACACTGCTCTAGAGCGCTCCCGACGCCAAGTACATATAGTGCGCCCGCATATGGAGCGTCACGGGCGAGCGACCAATCACAGCGCGCGCCGATTAACATTACAGGCGCATGACGTACTATGAGGCAGCAGATCGAAGCGGAAAATTTAGTCTTTGTGGAAAGAGCGCATGAATAACATGTTACGACACTGTGGCTTTAGGGCTAAACTCATCAAAACCCACCCTCAAAAGAATCTCAGTGACTTTTCAGTTCATCTGCAACACCAGTCTAAAATGTCTTTGTCATTAGTGCGGAAAATAGGAATAATAAAGGAACGCAAATCGAAGTCATGGAATTATGTACAGTAGAAACTATAAACAAATACATTTCCCCAAAAAAAGGGCCAGAATATATTTTAAATATATGTTGTAAACCGTGAAACTCAATGAAATATATTTTTGAAACTGAAAATATGTTTACGTTCAATCTTCATATACCAAATATATATTTCAGGGGGAAAGAAAATATTTTTATGGACAGAAAAAAAAAAAAGTTTTTCTTCAAATGTATATATATATGGGTTTAGTTTAGATTAATTTTGTTTCCAGTTGCATTAGTTTTTATGTTTATTATTCACTGATGATGAATGCTGTTTTTAAGTTTGTATGAGTCTGCTGATGTACATACTCTTTCGCTTCGCTTGTGTTTTCCTTGTGGTTTGTATTAAATTAACATTGCATGATGACTTGTTTAATAGTAGACACCCAGTGCAAGTATTTCATCATTTTACAGATATTTTAATGCGATTATGTGAGATTGTGTCTGGCTTTCCAGACTGAACATTGTGCTCGATTCAGTTACTCAGAGTCTCTGTGATGGAAAACTACAGCAGACTGCTGTGCAAGTGCAGATCTGTGTTCTGATGGCGTTGTTGGTCAGAAGTGCCAGTGTAAGCCCAGTACACAATCCCATAATCCTCCAGTGCGGCTCTGAACTCATGAAGTGGAGATATCGCAGGCTGAAGGGGTTGTGTAAGGAAAGCAGCACTTCTGAGCCATCGGTCACTGCTGATGAATCACACTCTCAGAAAAAAAGGTACAAAAGTTGTCACAGGGGCGGTGCCTTTTCAAAAGGCACACCTTTGTACCTAAAGAGTCCATATTGGTACCTTAAAGGGGTCATAGGATGCTACATGCACTTTTACAAGCTGTTTGAACTGAAATGTGTTGGCAGTGTGTGTACACAACCACCCTATAATGATAAAAATCCACCCAGTGTTTTTTTTTTTAATCTCGTTAAATAATTTCCCCTTTCTCAAATCGAGCCGATCTCAGATGCACACAGACAGGCCCCTCCCACGATAGTTTGATTGACAGTAGTGTTTCAGCACAGACTGGACTGGCGTCTTAC